CAGCCCTGCCAGCGGGCCGGCGCCAGGTCAGCGCCAGGGTGCCGGCCTGCGAGGCCCGGGGGAAAGGGAGGTCGCTGAGAGGATGGGGGATCCGTGAAGGGATGGGGTGTCTGTGAGGAGATGGGGGATCCATGAGGAGATGGGGGATCCGTGAGGGAATGGGGGATCCATGAGGGAATGGGCATCTGTGAGGAGATGGAGGATCCCTGAGGGGATAGAGAATCCATGAGGAGATGGGGGATCCATGGGGGAATGAGGGATCCGTGGGGGAATGGGGGTCTATGAGGGGATGGGGGATCTGTGAGGGGATGGGGTGACTGTGAGAGGATAGGGGATCCGTGAGGGGATGGGGGATCACTGAGGGGAGGGGGATTCGTGAGGAGATGGTGGTGTCCGTGAGGGGATGGGGGATCCCTGAAGGGATGAGGAGTACCTGAGGGGCTGTCTCCAGTGTCCCTGAGGGGATGGGGGGTGTCCCTGAGCCATGCCCAGGGTCTCTGAGGGGAGGGGGGTCCCTGGGGGGCTGCATCCTGGGTCCCTGAGGGGACAGAGGATCCCTGAGGGGATGGAGGGACCACGTCTGGGCAATCCTGAGGGGATGGCGGGTTCCTGAGCAGAGCCTGGGGGCCCCTGGGGGGCCATGCCCAGCGGTCCTGAGGAGATGGCAGGTCTTACTACCTCGTGAGTCTCAGTTGTTCATTCTTTACCAGCATTAAAGACCATTTAAGAGCTTTACTATTCTGGAAGCTTCTTCTAGATGTAAAGGATAATGAAAGGGTTTTCTAAAGAGTGCTCCTCACAGCATGGCTATTCAGTCCCTTGCTTTCTCATTTACCGGGTCTGCCAGTGAGCCTGAGGAATATCTTAGCAAGTTCTTTTGTCCTCCTGACTGAGTACTCTCCTTTTCCTAAGGTATGTGGTACTGACAGCGAAGCACCATGAAGGCTTCACAAACTGGGGGTCACCTGTGTCATGGAGCTGGAACTCTGTGGATGCGGGGCCCCACCGAGATCTTGTAGGAGAGCTGGGACAAGCTCTCAGGGAGAGGTACATTGCTGCCAACCTTTGTTGTTCCTTTCATCTTTGTGCATTAAATTATCCTGGCTGTTCTTGACAAACAGCCAAAAATGCTGAGTTTAGGACGAAAACGGTAGTGCTTGCAAAGTTGTGAAATCTGTGAAATAATAATGCTAGTAATTTAATTCTTAATCCCTGCTGCCAGCCTAACTCTTTCCTCTCTCTTTTCTATCTTTTAGCAACATACGCTATGGCCTGTATCATTCTCTGTTGGAGTGGTTTAATCCACTCTATCTAGCCGACAAAGAAAGTGGCTTCAAGACCCAGAGCTTCGTTTTACAGAAGACAATGCCAGAACTTTATGATCTTGTCTTAAGGTAAGAGCTACAACTGGTTAGGACTCAAGAGCGTTTCTTGGTTTCCATGCTGTAGAGAAAGGTGCAAACTGGATGCAGAGAAGAGGAGTGAAAAATGTTAATTTTTGCCAAGGCAGCTTTGTTTTCTTAGCGGTAGTGGTGTGAGGTAACTAGAAAAAGGGTAATTTATTTGACCTGTGAACAATCTGACTTACACAGTAATGCAGGGAAAAAGCTTAGATGCAGGAGCAATGCCCTTTACTGCAGCATTTTGAGCATAGTGGCCTAGAAAGTGGAGCAAGCTATTTAATATTACGTAGAGTAGAAAAGCAGTTTCACTGTGAATTTACATCCTTGCTTTGCTTTCCTGAGTTGACAAAAATACCAGGCTTGGACATGTGTTGCTCAGAATGGCCATTGTTCCAGGTAAAGAATGTGCTTCGTAATTGCCATTAAGATGCACTCTTCTGTTTTTGGAAGAATTGCATCCTGTATTCAGCTGTGATCAACATGCCGCTGCAAGAACCTTGTTTGTGGCTTTGTCTGAACTAGGAAATGATAGCATGAACTCCTCATAACGTCAGGCAATGGGAAGAGGAAGTGAAGATGGACTCCGGAAGTAAGAAAGGCAGTGCTGTGACAGGCTTCCTTTGAGGTAGGAGAAAATAAGAGGCCATTTTGAAATAACATTCCTCTCTCTGTTAGATATAAACCAGATTTGATTTGGTCGGATGGAGACTGGGAAGCTCCGGAGTCGTACTGGAATTCTACCTCTTTCCTTGCCTGGCTTTATAATGATAGTCCTGTCAAGGTATTGCTCTCAGCTATCCTTCTTGTTTTCTCGCACTCTGTAGGTATGAAAGGTCTGGCAGCAGTGAGGTGTGACTGTGGTCAGGTCAGAAATCTGTTTGACAGATGCCAATCATGTGCATTATTCTTTCCTCAAAAATAAAAAGTCCATGCTCTGCTCCTGTGAGAAGACTCTGGTGTCCAAATCAGAACTTGAAAAGAAGCCACAGGCCTGTTGCTTTACAGCACACATGTGGGAGGCTCAGATGCCAGGAGCCTCGTCGCCTCAACTTCTTGAGTGAACGGGGAGTTTCTTCCATAGAGGCATTCAGCCTTTTCTGGAGGCTCTTCTCTCTCTTTCTCTTGATTAGATAGGCAGCCTTAGATATTTTGCCTCCCAACTTGAGTGCCTCACGTAGGAGGGATGAATGCAAGCTGAAAAGTCCAGGACAAAACACTCTCCCTTCTGAGCTGTTGTTGTTCTTTCAGGACACTGTTGTCGTGAATGATCGTTGGTGTAATAACTGCTCTTGCCATCATGGAGGCTACTACAATTGTGCTGACAAATACAAACCAGGTACCCTGCCAACTCACAAGTGGGAGATGTGCTCCTCTGTCGACAAGCTGTCCTGGGGGTATCGAAGCAACATGCGTATAGCTGAGTTAATGGATGAAGCAAGTATCATTGAGGTAAGAAATCTTAAGTCAAAATTGCTGAGAATTAGAGGTTTCTTTCCTCCTTGCAGAGGAGGCTTGCAGAAAGAGTTGTCATGTGCTTTATGCAACCAGAGTGAAGTTAAAGGAGTATTGGATGAGGATAAAGTACTCCTCAGGTGCCTGTGTCTTTGTTGTCAGAAGTGAAGATAAATCAGTTGGTTAACCTTGTTTTATCTGTCGCAGGAACTAGTGCAGACTGTGAGTTTTGGAGGCAACTACCTTCTCAATGTGGGCCCTACAAGTGAAGGGGTGATTGTTCCCATCTTCCAAGAAAGACTTCTGGCACTTGGGAGGTGGCTGGACACTAATGGGGAGGCAATTTATGAATCAAAGCCATGGAGAGTACAGATGGAGAACAGCACAAACAGTGTCTGGTAAGGACTCCATTGCTAAATACCTTCCTGAAACAGGAATCTAGCATGGGCTGGGACTTCCAGAGCTGACATTTCTTTCTTATTTGTTCTTAAATTCAGTACTCTCTGAAGTGTTGCCATCAGGTGTGGATGGCTTTTAGGAACTATCCTACAACCAGAGCGCTCAGTTCCCGCCCCTGAGTGTAATGTAAAGAATATCTTGCTGTGCACATGCAGTTAGAAAGAAGAGAATAAAAATCAGGACTTCAGCCATCTTGCTTAATTAAAAAAGAACAAATCTTCCTCAAAAAAATTTCCATGCTGTTGCTGTCAGGACTGTTTAAGAAGTGGTCCTGGCTAGTTTGAGTTGCATAAATATAGTTTGTCTAAACTCATGCAATCTGTGAATGTAGTGATATTTGCTTTTAAATTGTTATATACTAGTACTGCTCACTGTTACCCAACTGTTACATCTTACTTGCTGAGAAAGGCATAGTAAGGGAGCCAAGAGCCAGAAACGCTGGGATTTTTTTGCAAGCGCGCCCAAATGTGTTCAGCCTAGAAATGCAGAGCAGTGAAAAGATCAGCAAAAGGCAGTGTGTCCACTCTGTTGACCACAGCCTGAAGCAAGGACAGATCAGCAAATGACGTCCACTTTTAGCGAGCATGTGTGGACTTTGTGTGAGTTTCATCAGCCAGCGCTGCCTGGATAAATGGTGGGTCAAAAGTGACACGTTTTGGAACGAGAGGAAAGTAGGTGACCCCTGTATGACAACAGGAGGCAAGCCGGTGTTCTTGGGTTGTCTGAAAAGTCAAGCTCATGTCTCTTGTATGGAGCTCTTCATGTTGCTGAGCTGTTGCTCTCTTAGGTACACTTGTAAAGGACTGGTTGTCTATGCCATCTTTCTGACCTGGCCCCAGGACAATCTGTTGAAGCTCTCTTCACCTGTTCCATCTCCAGACACGCAAGTAAGGAACGTTAAAAATAGATAATGAACGTGGAGAGCCCATCTCAGGCACATGCGTGCTGGGAAGGCCCATTTGGTAGCTGGTGGGAATGCAGAAGTTGTCAACTCTTGCTTCTTGTCCTGGGACTCACTGTCCCTCCTACTGATCCATGCAGCATCCCAGGTTAGTCTTCAAGCTTCATGGTCACTGTCCCATAGAACAGTGGATAGGACTTGGCAGGACAGGCCCATAGTCTGCCACAGAGTAGGTAGGGATACTTCTTCCCTGCAGTCTTTTGCTCCTTTTGACACAGTAAGGAGAAGTAAATGAAAAATGTCTCACATAGCAGAAGGGATCACTGGTATAACATCTCAAATGCAGGTCAGGTGCATCGACCTGCTAATTGTAAATGTAATTGTAAGTGACGCAAATGCTGGAGTGCCCTTTGCTCTAAATAAACATAAGTAAAGACTTTGCAGTAAAAAGAACTACAGTCAAATGTTTGGCCCCAACATATCCGTTATGTTGCCTTTTGTGCACTGTGACTTATAGGTAGAAGTGCACAAGACCACTCTGAATGAGTAGGAAGGCTCTATAGAGACTGCAAATGTGTTAGGTGTACTAGGATGCCCAAGTGGAAAACACCTGTTTGAGCTGTAACTGCGTGTCCCCTCCCTCTTTCTGCAGGTGACGATGTTGGGTCTTGCAGGAGCTCTGAAGTGGCAGAAGTCTCCCGATAAAGGACTGCTGATAACTTTGCCCTGTGTGCCTCCATCTCCTATATCTGCTCAGTCTGGCTGGACTGTCAAGCTTGAGGGTGTGAAATGACAGCTGTGGGATGAAAGCAGCAATCTGCCCCTGCTTTTCCTTTAATTTGAGGCTAAGAATTTTTTTCATTTATTGTTGAGTAAATTGTTTTTCCCTCAGTAGAACTGCTTTTCTAAGACACTTTGTCTATAAGGGATTGCAGTGTCTGTGGACCTTGTTTGGGGG